ATAAAACATCAAGTATTCATTATTTAATAATATTTTAAAAAATTTATACGTCATTTTATTTTTGTGTGTTTTCTGCCATAAATTAAATAAAATAGGTTTTACACTTCTTACTCACCTGCGTTATGGTCGACATCATCTGCAACCGCCCGAGACGCACCGGTGGCGGAAAGGGTTCACGACACGCCACCGAATCGCCCGCGCCCAAACCGGCCACATACGCGCAACCCACGACAAGATAGCAAACGGCGAGAAAAACAATGGCACGCTCCGGATAGCGAAAACGCGACGAGTCAATGAGAAAGGTCAGCACCTATACGCCGATGTGAGTGAAAAAGAGAAAGATTATGAGAACAAAAGATTAATTGTATTATTAGAATTACATGCATGTTTTGTTATACAATTAAACCAAACTATGGTACATGAGCTTGGGTACTAACTCACATAAATTAAATCATATTTGTTGGCAGTTAGACAAGTTAATGACTAACGACTACAGCTAGTAGCGTATCAGAACTCAGTTGAGGTGGTGAAGGCGCGCACGACTTGTAAAATATTTAATAAATTTGTAATAATTATTTGAGATTTTTGTTGTATTCTGCCTTAAGAGATCATAAGATAACAAGATTTATGATACAAAACTGCTAATATTTTATGGATTAGATAAGATTGAATTGCTTAGTATAGTTAGTTAGAATCAGTTAGTAGCATAATCGGAATTAGTTAGTTGATTAATCGGATTAAATTCGATTGGATTTGAACCAAATATAGAACGAATATGTTTGGAATTTATTAAATCGATAATTATATACAGATAATAAAGATCTTAAAAAATAAATTTGCATTTTTATTTAAAAAGTGACTAGATTAGATTAGTTTAGATTAAATCTCACTGGCTGCAATCAAAACATGATGTATAAAAGTGATTTGATGAGTTTAAGCCATATTATAAGTTAGCTAAAAAACTAGATCGGGCAAAATCTATTCGATTCCTCAACCTGTCAATATATAGTAATTTGAACTTATTTAATCAGATTATCAAAACCTCATAACGCTTAAAAGTCAAAATAAGATGTAGCTGACTTAGCTTTTTATTTTTTTTTTTTTTGTTTTTTTTTTTGTTACGATATATTTTTCTAACATTCGTTTTTCGAAAGACTCAGAATCGCAAACCATATAAAATAGTTTGAAGATTATACAAGGCAAATTGAATTCATAGATCGACCTTCGGAAACCGAATCCGAAAGCAAACGTGTGCCTGTGTATCTGATTGCTTACACACCGATGTGTTTTTCATCCATAAAGTAAAAAAAAATGAAGTAAACTCCGAAGTTCTGGAGCTCAAATCGGAGCAAGAGAATATGATTAATAACGAAAACTTGAGCCTTCTCAGGCAGAAGAAGTTTAATTCTGTTACTCGTAGGTAAAATACACAGAACCAATTAGGAAGCAACATACGTTCCCATGTTAATTGTTACGTGCCCGTCGGAACGGGTCCAGACTTTTATCTGATCAAGCAGTGTCCACTAGGTATCTGAACACTTGGATATTGTCAAACACTTTAACTTCATACTGGGTCTCTTAGGTCATAGAGTCGCCAACCGGAACTCTGGCGGGACTCTCTCTGGCGCCTAACCTAGCCATCAATAGTCTGACAAAAAAGTCTTTTTGGAGCCAATCTTCGAAAATTATTTAATACTGAAGATACAGACTAAAGCAGTTAGTCGAAGGTATTAGCGTTGCGAAGTGCTCTGAAAGGCTTAGGGAAACTGGTTGAAGGTAACCGAACAAGGACATGTCGAAATTCGCTGCTTCTTTAATTGCTCTCCTGAAAACTTGGCACACTGCGCAATAGAAGCTATTCGCTGCGTTGTAAGCAGAGTGACACATACCAACGAGGGATATGTGGAGGGTGAGAAGCCGCTGGATAAGAGGCGCAGTGAGCATTTGCAACCAAGAAGGTAGGAGTCTGTCTTAGTTTTAGTTTACCGGACCACTGTAGTATAGTGCAGACAAAAGTGGCTACTATTAAGGTGGCAACAGACGTACTGCGACGAAGTGCAGCCTCTTTCAAGGGGGTGGTATACACTCCGACAGCAGAGTGGCAATACTAGCGCTGAGTTCGATAACTCTGTTTTTAAAGCTAAAAAAGTGGTGTCTGTCGTCAATGGAAATATAATCCAGATACAGCATCATCAGCAAGCTAACGAGCTAGCCGAAGCGGTTTAGTACTTGCCCTGGAAACGAGTTTAATCTTCATTGGCATTTTGCTTTGCGCTGGTCGACAAAACGCTCCTGCGCGACTGCAAGTTCCTTTCTGACTAGTGTAGAGTGCAGATCTTCTGAACTACTTGGCTCTGCGTTGCAAAGATCGCCTTGCCGCTATCGTGAGGTTCTTGCTGGACATTGCACAAAAGGCAATCATGCTTTAAGACTAAAAATCTTGACGGACGCAAGTTGTCACAGTTGTATGCAGGAGAGTAAGATGTAAGCATCCAGGCACCTTTCTCTCTATTGTCCAGCCTTTGCAAGACCGAGTTTGATACATTTGTGTAGTCTTACTTTGGATGAACTCAGGAGACATAGCAGAAACGGACATTAAGCGACTCAACAATTTTGTAGATGACGCCCATCACTTGGACGATTTGTAAAAGTCTTGTGCGCTGTTATGTAAGAGTTTTAGACAGCACATCGGACTGGCGTTCCCAGCTGTACTAATGAGCTTCTTGTTGAGATCGTTCCAATAACCTAACCTAAGGACTTTAAAATTAATGCGGAAGCAAAACGAACTAAACTCGCCAACATAAACACCGCATTTGTTATATAAAGATACACCAAGCGAAACTAAGTTGCCGAAGTTAACGGTTTTTTCCATTTACCTTAACAATTATAGGCTCTAATTTATCGGCTCTTCTTCCTGTATATGCATATTTTCTGCCATCAAGCCTTAAGTATCTACTAAATTATGAACGTGTAATGAGTTAGGAAACATAGATCTTTATACTATACACTCCCAATCAATGTGGTGACATGCTCTTTAAGTTTTTTAATTAAGTTTGCAATTAAGAAATCTCGTTAAGTGTCGAATTTCACGCATACATATAGACATAGGCTGCGGCTTGTCATTTTTAACGCCTCTCATCTGCAACTTACTGATATTACACGGCTGGCAGGTTCAACGGAGGACAACGCACCAGCCTTACCAGCGAGCAGCGCTTTTACAAAAGCAGAAAATTGCATAGAAACACAAACATATATACATTTTTACGAGTATGTGATATAAGTGTGTGTAAGCTGCTGGCAACACAAGCTGTTGGCAGCGAGCGTTAGCAATCAGCGTTGCAGTCAGAGCTGTCATTCATAATCATTTCACTGATTGGTGACGGAGTTGACTTTTGTTGCATGCAACGCGCACACACTTAAACCCTACATACTTGTAGTGTACGAAATTATATGCTTGCATGCCACTTGGTATGTTGAGGTGTCGCTGCAGATAATGTATGTAAACATGTCGGTGTTTGTGGTTCAAATAGTTCCTCGTTCTTTGCCAGTGGTTGCTGTATTGCAGGATTTCATGCCACAAGATAACATTATCCACATCATAATCAACGGTAGTTAATGATGTTGTTGCACCCTATGAAGTTGCCAACTACACGTTTGTTGTCGCTGTCGCTTTTGTGTCGCCAACAGCGCTTATCTCGGAGTTGGCGGCGCTGTCACCCATGGAGCAATGGTTTTGTGGGGATGACATCACCTCTGTCGTAAAGTCGCTATACTCTATCTGCAGTTGATAAATGCAAAGACACTATTCGCTTGCGGTTTTACTGCAATTCGTTGCTGTAATGGTTTACCATGGCAATGGTGTAACATTTCAGTTGATGACTTTTCTTAATTACAAAACTAACCTCAAAGTTGCTTGTGTTTTGTATGAGAGTCAGTTTGGTGGCTCCTTTCTTTGTAGCAAAATATTTATGGAATCTAATGCTGAGGACAAGTGTCAAAAGGTGAAAGGAATTAGATAAAGTTTTGGTCACATGAGGTATTAGTACAAGGAGATCAGTCAAGGGTCATTACCTTTATCAATTTTGGTTCACACATCTCTAGAACACTTTAAGAGCCGAGCCACGTTAAAGTTCTGACCTTCGATAGGAAAGCAATTACTTCGACTCGGGCAGGAATCAAACTTCGGATCCTTAAATCAAATACATAGCTGGAGGATCCAAGGAATGCGTGTAAGAAAACAAATGTTCGATTCCAACAGAAACTTCGAACCATTAAAGCATATCCAAATGGGGAATCCAAGGAATGGATATCAGAAAGGAATTAGTTTGACTCCGTTAATAAGCGGACACTGAAAGCAAATGTAAATAGAGGATAGAGTTCTTGTAAGGAACTTCTTTTCACTTTGATTTCAAAATTTCGTATGTATGGGAAGTGGAACCGAAAATAGAACAGTATTTTTTTCCACTCGGACAAGACTCTGACTTGGGATCCTTAAAACATATGGAAACGGAGGATCTAAATAACAGTTATTAAAGTTTTAATATTAGCCGCTTAAGAGCGGTATCCATTATTAGAAACTTCTATTTAACATAACTTTAATTTTAGTTTCGACCGAAAGTCGAACCGATTATAGGAGGACAATTAGTTCAAATTTTGACAGACTTCGAAACCTCAAAGCAAATCGACAGAGAGGAAGGATTTAAAGAAAGAGTATTGAAGTACTAATGCTACCTGCCGAAGAGGGAAATTTATTGGACAGCAATTAATTCCAACTCCAAAAAGACTACATCTTCGAAAAGAGATGATTTAAAGAACAGGAAAATGTTATGTTACTTGCTGAAGGAAGAGCGAAAGTCGCATCGATTATAGGACAGCAATTAGTTCGATTCAGATATCGGATCTTTAAGGCGTTTGCAAATGGAAGATTCAAAGAACGGCTATGAAGGACTCATGTTACTTGCCAAGGAGAGAAATCCGTACCGATTATAGGATAGTAATTACTTCGATTCAGACATCGGATCCTTAAAGCATATGCAAATGGAGGGTTCAGTGAACGTGCTTCGAAAGTTTAATATTACTTGCTAATAAGAATCTTCTTTGTAATTTTAATTCAAATTTTTTTCTCGACTGAAAATCAAACCTACGAGGCAAGCAGACAGTCTGCTATAAGCTGTACCACTAAGGGATTACTTAAAGGATGAGCTTCCCTGAAGAGGCACTCTCGAAATATTTCTACCTAGAAGCAGACATGATTCAACGCAGTAAATGTAAGAAACTCCCAATTGGCGCAGGGTTTAGAGTTATTAAACT